GTTGAGCATCGGCCTATGATCCAGGAGATCCAGGTTTGATTTCTGGTCAGGGCACATGCCCGGGTTGCGGGCTCAATTCCCAGCAGGGGACGTGCAGGAAGCAGCTGATCAATGACTCTCTCATCATTGATGTTTCTCTCTTTCCCTCTCCCGTCCTGTCTCTGAAATCAATAAAAACATATTTAAAAAATAAATACAGGGGCAAGAGAATCAGGCAAAAGATTCAAGACAGGAAGGTTTTTTAAAGGTGCACACATCAGGAAAGAAGCCAGAGATGGGGAGGGCGATAGGAAAGGAGGTGCCATCTGAAGGTTCTCTCTCAAGAATCTGGAAGATAGGACTGGTAACAATGAGTAAGACTCAGTCACAGTGTGAGCGAGCGCCTCGTGTGGACTACATTTGGCACAGTCTTCACTGTGTAGACATGACCAAGACCGACATGTACAGGATCTCTCCTTAAAAGCAGACCTACTGGCCACATGTGAAAAGCCACCGCAGTGTTTCCTGAAATGAGAATAATTCTAGGCAGGGGCTTTGATATAAACCACATGTGTGTTATCCAGGTGGATTCAACTAAGTTAAAAACTCAAGCAAAACCATTCTCATACACCACGTAAGAGTGACCCTGCCACCACGGTCTTCTCCACAGCTTCAGGAAATGCAGTCTACAGCCTGCTCTAGATCTTACCTCCTCCTCAGTGGGAAGTGCCATCAGCTTATAGGGACAAATTTAAAAATACCTAAGAGGATGAGATACTAAATGCAAGACCTTACAAAATATGTGACTCTAATAATAAACCCAAGAGAGTTCAAGGGCAGGGAAGTCCCCTTCTCACCTAAGTATCACTGCTTTAAATCTTCTACCAAGGGTGGTGGCGACAGATTCTTTCAGGACAGCTACTGTTGAAGAGTATTTATAAATGTAGCTTAAATTAGAGCAGTGAGGCAGATGTCTACCTCAGAGAAAATAATCAAGCAAATCCCAAATGATGTGACCAGAACAAAGGTAAATATTTTTTGTGTTAATGTGAATGTGCTCCCACACTAAGAAGTCATATACCTTTTCCCAACAAAGGTGGAGAGGGCAATAGGCCAAACCTGTGGTGTGGGTGCCTCGGTCTCCTGGAGGCTGTTTCATCACGGATGAGAGGATGCCTAGGGTTGAGGACTGAATGCGAATGCATGTGGAGAGCAGAGCAGAAGTTGAGGAATGCGAATGCATGTGGAGAGCAGAGCAGAAGTTGAGGACTGAGTGCGAATGCATGAGGAGAGCAGAGCAGAAGTGGTGAGGACTGAATGCGAATGCATGTGGAGAGCAGAGCAGAAGTTGAGGACTGAGTGCGAATGCATGTGGAGAGCAGAGCAGAAGTGGTGAGGACTGAATGAGAATGCATGTGGAGAGGAGAGCAGAGCAGGAGTGGTGAGAATTGAACAAGAATGCATGTGGAAGATCAGAGGAGAAGTTGAGGACTGAACGAGAATACATGTGGAGAGAGAGATATATATCTGCTCAATCTGAACACTATCCCTGACTAGAATATTTCTCACACTGCTTTCTAAAATGCCTTTAGAGCTTGAGCACCTATTTTGACAATGTGAATAGGATGGGTGACCACATAAACAGATTTCTGAAAAGTAAATAAGACTTTGTTTATTGGGTCTTAGACTTTGCAGCTGAAAGAAATTCTAAGTTCCAAAAATGGAAACAATGGAAAACACGTAGCCTCTCCAAGTGTTCTGAAAAAGGTAATTCTCAATTGGATGTGCAGGTTCTAACAGATTTATTACAACAAAAACTACTCATGGCAGCCTTATTACTCTGGTTCATTAAATCCACAGACCTAGCCATATTTCATGTCCATCTTAACACTTTTACTCTGTAGTTAAAAAAGGATACTGTTTGCCCAGCCGGCATGGCTCAGCGGTTGAGCATCGACCTATGATCTAGGAGATCACAGTTCAATTCCCAGTGGTGTGGTGCAGGAGGCAGCCGATCAATGACTCTCTCCATCACTATGTTTTTGTGTTCTTTTTAATTTTGTCATTATCGCCAGGTTCAAGTTTTTATGAGCTAAAAGCCTATATGAGAACAGTAGCCACCACTTACAAATAAGCCAGTCCTTGGAGGACAGACACACTCGTGCAGCCCCAGAGCACAATTTGCTAGTTATTGGTGCACATTAGATGGCTGATGTCCAGGACTCCCACAATGTCTACCAAACCGGCTACCGGACAAAGAGGCGAGGTGTATTCCAAGAACAAGAAGTGTCATGTTTCTCTCTCTCTCTCTCTCCCTCTCCCTTCCCCTCTCTGCAATCAATAAAGACATATGAAGAAAAAAAAATACCATTTAACTTTTCTATGTAGTAGAATTTAACTATCACTCCACATCGAAGTCCAAATAGTACCATACACACTTCCTTCCCCTTCCATGCTTCACAGAATGCAGTGCCTACAACAGCAGCAGCCATCATTCACATGGCTTCCTAACACTGGACAATGTTCTAAGCACCCCAAACTGAAGCCCAGAGAAGTTATTCGCCTCCAACTAAGAGGAGGGAGCTAGGATTTTGAACCCAGGCAGCCTGACATAAGTCCACACTATACCTTAGTTTTAATTTTTTCTTCTGCTGAGTAAATAGATTTAAGAAAGAATCACTTAATAACATTGTATTAAGTAAGGGTATGTAGGTAACAGAATCAGACAATCTGGAACTGACACTTCATATATTTCTCAATTAAAAAGCACACATCAAAAGTCAAGATGAGCTGCCTTCTGAAGGTCACCCTTGGTTAGAGGCCAGGGAGGACTACATCCTAATCCCCATGCGGGCACACATCACCTCCGTGCAACCTCACAGAACTACCAAGACTGGGTTATCGCCAGAAATATTTCTGAACACAATGTCATGGAAGATGGCTTTGAAAACTGGCCCACATTTTCCTGTTCTTTCCCTGAACACCTATGATAGGTTCCCACCTGAAAATCGTGAACCAGAAGCTGGGAATAAAAAGCAGACAAGATACAAGCGCAGAGTCCAGCAGAGGAAGACAGACAAGATGATATACTGTCAGGGGCACAACAGAAATCTACATAAGGAACAGCAGGAGGTAAGAGGAGCCCTCGTCAAATCTTCTCTGGCTGTGACTGAGGAATTTAACCTGTACCCCAGTCCTATCACTAGCTGGGTGTATAAACCAAAGGACAGATGCTTCCCTCTCATCTCTAACATGAGGATGAATCTTCCAACCCTTTACAACTTGAAAATACAATCAAACTAGTAAATCTATTTTGAATAAAATTTTTTTTAAAGATCGTGATTTTGTTAATCAAAGGGACATTTAAAGAGATGTGTCATTGTTAGAGATGAAATAGGGCATTCTGGATAACTGAATTATATATAAAAATGCAGTATCAAATTAAAAAATTATACACACATACCACAAACATTAACACACTAATCAATTTATAACAGCTCAGAAGACTCTGGGGTTTGTGTTGTGGAGTTGAGTGGCATTGACGCACTACTGGACAGTACAGCAAGTGTGTATATATAGCACATTCCATACCGGAGTTATTTGAACTTTCTGATTGCTGGGTTCTGGAAAACCAAATATTTGTAAGCTGCCCAAATGCTTGGTTTTAGAATACTTCCATCTTTTAAATTTCCATCTTAAACATAGAGCAGGGGAAAGAATGTTTTAGAATAAGACAGCTCTGAATTCATATTTAATGTGTATTCTTGAGCAAGCTACTTAAATTCAGGTGGTTTTGTTTTTTTCCACCTATAAGATGAGAACAGTTATCAGCTTCCTTCAGTGAATTGTTGTGAAGGTTTATGAGATGAATGAAAGTCTCGAAACTTTCATTCAGAAAACTATATAGCTAATGTTTAATAAATGAGTTCCTTTCCTACTGCTTTAAAAAAGGCAGCCAACCCTTAGCTCCACATTCCTGAATAATCCCTAAGTCCAGAAAGAAAGCTCCAGAGCTTCAGGTTATATATGTAGTTACTTACAAGTCTAGGTTTTTGTGTAAGTGAAAAAAGGGCAAAATCACGCAAACACTACTTAGTAAAGCACATAAGAGCCCTAAAAACTATTACTTAGAGTTCTGCAGGTCAGTTCTGAAGCTCTGTTCGTCTCTCCTAATGTCCTCTAATGATATCTAGACAGAGAAGCTTAACAAACCTAACCTTCCGCTTATACAAGTAAGGAGGGTCTTGTATATGTGCCAGCTTGCTCCTCGCTAAGCTGGAGATGTAGTTTAAAGAAAAATAGCATATGACTTAATAAAATCAGAACAAATTTATTAATTTTACAGCTATAAATGATGTCTCAAACTGTAGTAACTTACTTCAAGTGTATCGGGAAGTGTTTTAAAATTTAAGCTAACATGTAATTTTGAAACTAAAATAAAAACTGAAAAATCAAGGGTGTAACCTATCAAAATCTTGGTGAGAGATGATGTATATTGCTGAGTTCATGGTAGAAAAAACACACACGTTATTTAAATTCACTAAAAACGTAAATTTTCCTTCATACCAAGGGTATGGCTATCACTGTACCACAAAAGATGAATGCTATATAAAAGCCTTGCATATTATATTACATTTATCTACTACTGTGGCTCCAAAATAACTTATCATTAAAGTTTTGACGTCACATTACCACCATTTACTTCTCCCAAACAGAGCCAAAATACAACTCAAGGCTGATACACTGCAAATACACCTTTGAGGCAGTGGCTTTTAAATATATATTCAAGATCCAAATTTGTCTTTTCCTATCAAAGTCACTATTATCTGAAGCTTATTTAAAATTAAAATCATCACTAAAATCAAGTCAAGGCTCCTTCCCTTCTGATTTGTTTTCCTCAGGCTTCTACCTTGGAGGCCCCATTTCCCTTCCCCCCTCCAACACCTCAGAGGGCAGGAATAGTTTCGGAAGTCACTTACTATTGAAATCTATGAAATGAATGATGAAGCTATACAACCAAAGCAAGATCCACACTTTATAAACACATATTCTCACATGTCTGAATTGATACACAAGATTCTTCGTTCATTTTACAGATTCTGAAACCAAGTTGTTCAAAGGTAAATTCTGAAATCATGGCTGATGTAGCAAATGAATATATCGAACCAACAAAAACGCCACCCAAATATTTACATTTAAACAACAGGCTGCTTATTCAGTGTGCTTGAACAAACCATGTGTGGAACTGAAATCCATTTACTATGGACTCAGTTCCTGCTCAACACTCACTGATACTAGAGAAGACCCCTGGCATCTGAGTTTTCAAGTGTTCCCAATCTATGCTAAAAAAGTAAAACATGACAAGTAATTTCTGAGGCACAACCATGAACCTCAGAAGTGGAGGGGCTAGTATGTAAGGCAAATTAATTAGGGGTCAGAGGGGCTGGCACCTGTCCATCAGTGTGGCTTTGCCACTGCCTCAGTGTTACCAGGTAGGTGATAAAACTCTCTACAGGTCATTTACATTTTGTAACTACACCTCACTGCATTTTGTTCTAGTAGTTTCACAAACTTGGACAATCACAAAAATATCTGGGAATATATTCCTTGAGGAGGTGGAGGGCTCTCCTTCTTATTACATTAAACAAAAAATCATGCAGTTTCTTAAAGCTCATAGAGCTTTTCCAAATAAACTACAGATTATACAGCCCAATTAAAAACTCAAACACTTTATATTACAGGTATAGAAAGTTTATAGTTCAGCAATGCCAACAGATAATTTAACACCTTCACCCCTACTTGCAATGCAATTAATAACTATACAATGACTTCTATTTTATTGTCATTGACTGTGGCTCAGATGTTTAAATACTTAAACAACCTGGAAAGATTCTGTGTGTGTTTTGTTTGTTTTATTGTTTTTGTGTGGGCATGGGTGCTGGTGGGGATTATAATGAAGAGTGGCCAGTTCATTATAATGAAGACAATCAGGAATTAAACAGCCACTAAAATTTCACGTACCATTTCCTTACAAAATATACATGGAAGAATATGGCTTACAGATAGAGGGGGGGAAAGAAAGCCTCTTATTTGTTCACACTATTACACTTTACCTTTTATCCCGTCTGGCAATAATGCCAAACTTAATTTACTACCTAGGGCAAAAGTAACTCTCTAAGAGGATTTTATGAAGTCCAAATTAATTTTGGTTTTTAGATCCTGAGTGCTTAGAATTTTGGAATTCTTCAGATTAACTAAAAAAAAAAAAAAAAAGTTATATCAACAACCAAAATCCCAAAAAGATTAGATAAGAAACAATTGGTTAACCATTTAAAAAATACCCAACTAAGTTTTTATAACAGATTAGAATTAGTTGGAATATATCTCTGCCCCTATAAATTGACCTTTTGCTTAGTCTGTAGCCAAGGCAACTTTTCTTAAGCAAAATGCTTCTACAAAGGAGAGACAAATGATCTCTTTAAAAAGAACTAAGTAGGTCTAAAATCATTCCAAAGCAATCCCTTGGGTAAGAAATAGAACAATGGACAACACAACAATCAGTTTCCACAAACACACCATTTTCTTTTTGATAAAAAAGAAAGGGGGCTGGATTTTTATATATTAAATTCAGCAGAATTTTCATGTTTCAAAATTTTGTTCCTAGAGATCCCCAAGTCCCTTGAACTCATTTGGGAAGTGCTCTGAAGGTGCATACCATGGTAAACAGCAGCAAATACCACAACAACTCTTGCTAAAAGCAGCTGCTCCTGCTTGTGCCTTTAGAATACTACTTGTAGAACAGCAACAATAACAACCAAATGCTAATTTGTGCCATCAATTGGGATTCTAAGGAAGAAGCAGATTGTTTTCTTTAAAACATTCCAAGGCAGGACATCTATAATCATATTGGGCAAATATTGACTTTGGGGAGAAAATATCAGAAAATGTCAGTAAGAAAGAGGCAACAGTTACATTATATTCAGTATTCTAAAGGCACGCCTTACATAGTTCAACGATGATTCTGGTAAGACCAACTGCTCACATACATACACACGCACACATAAATTTTAATGGTTTTAAAAAAAAACAAATTTGTTACTTTAGAAAAATGAATGCAGTGCACTGTCATCAACATTATCGTCAGACTCTGATTGCTCAGTCCACACATAAGTAGTAGTTGCCTTCTATGGTGATATGGCTTCTCTGCACTAATTCCCATCAGGCCGAAAAACATTAGGGCAGGTTAAGTAAAGACTGAACTGTTGCACAAAGGAACATTTACTCATCAGATCCCACTGATCTCTTCTGTGCCCGCTTCCTGGGCAACCTTCTTGGTGAAGCTTTATCTGGAAGAAAAGAGGAAGTTTTAACTTGCCTGACTATTATAGGCATGTTGGATTCAAAAGATATTTTAAAAAGCATTTCCCTTCAACTTTACAATTAAATTCTAAAAACAAACACACATGCAAGAATACACCATCTAGCCCTGGCCAGTGTGGCTCAGCAAGGTTAGAGCACTGGCCTGCACGCTGAAGGGTCTCCGGTTCCATTCCTGGTCAAGGGCACGTACCTGGGTTGTAGGCTCGATCCCCAGTCCCAGACTGGGTTGGGTGTGTGAGGAAACCAATAGATGTGTCTCTTTCACTCTCTCTCTATCCCTCTCTCCTTCCTTTCCACTCTCTCTGAAAAAATATATCCTCTGGTGAAGATTAACAGGAAGAAGAAAAAAAAGAATATGCCATCTAATAATAAATTCCCCTTATCTAGTTTAGGCGTGTGTGTGTGTGTGTGTGTGTGTGTATTTTAATCCTCACCTGAGGATATTTTTTCCATTGCTTTTTCAGAAAGAGTGGGAGGGAGGGGAGAGAGAGAGAGAGAAACATCAATGTGAGAGAGACACATTGACTGGTTGCCTCCCACGCACGCCCCGACCCGGGCTGAGCCTGCAACAGAGGTACATGCCCTTGACTGGAATCAAACCTAGGACCCTTCAGTCCATGGGCCGACACTCTAACCATTCAGACAAACCGGCTAGGGCTAGTTTAGATATTTTAACTAACCTTTAATATAATCCTTTAAGAGGTAACTAAATTAAAATGAAACCTTTTGCAATTAGGGTGAGAAAAGATCTAATCTTGGTTAATGTAATGTTGCAGCCACCATGCAAAATCTTCTTGAATTCTACAATTTAACATGATTATACATGCATACGTAAACACTTTGGAAATAGTGTAAAAGGTATGAAATTTGCAGCTCAAAAATATTTGTTGGTTATAAAATTAAAGACAGTATTTACAAATGCAGCCATGCAGTTTGCATAATATTGGCACTTTCATAAGATTATCTGGAATAAGCAGTAGGATAAAGAAAATTAAAACACTGTATCAATACTAAGACCATCCTACACACACAAATATTATGCTTTTACTTTCTCTTTATATCTTATGTTAGAGTCTTAGTGAAGACTACCAAACAAAAAATAAACTAGTGGTGAGTTTCTTCTACTTCCATTCAGTACAAGGAGTCATCTTTAAGTTTCTTTAAAAAAGGAAGGACTATCTTCTCTTTTACCATTGTGTCTTCTTATTTTGTAGAGGCACTTTTCAAATTAGGAAGATAAGCTCTCTTTATGGAATAAGTAATTATTTTTCCAGTTTTTAAAAAAGTGAAGGGCTGGAAAAAGCTGTTTCCACCAAAGTAAGAGGATAATTTGTAAGCATTTCAAGAACAATGGTATGAAAAATGTAATGTGCCTAAAAGATCTTAATTTTTATTTTCCAAAATTACTAGACCATGCCTGTATTTTAAAAATACATAATAGATCTGTATCAAACTAAAAAGCTTCTGCCCAGCAAAAGAAAATAGCCTCAAAATACAAAGGAACCCCACAGTCTGGGAAAACGTATTTGCCAAGGATGTATCTGACAAGGGGCTAATTTCCAAAGTGTACAAAGAACTCATAGTACTCAGCAAGAGGAAGACAAACAACCCAATTAAGAAATGGGCAAAGGACCCGAACAGACACTTCTCCAAAGAGGACATACAGATGGCCAAGAGACAGGTGAGAAAATGCTCAACATCGCTAATCATCAGAGAGATGCAAATTAAAACCACAATGAAGTACCACTTCACACCTGTCAGAATGGCTACAATCAAGGACTCCTGCAGGTGAGGGTGTGGAGAAAGGGGAGCCCTGGTGCACTGCTGGTGGGAGTGCAGACTGGTGCAGCCACTATGGAAAACAGTATGGAGGTTCCTCAAAAAATTAAAAATGGAGCTGCCTAGGAATGTATCCTAAGAATCCTAAAACACTAATCAGAAAGAATATATGTACCCCAATGTTCATAGCAGCACAGTTTACAATAGCTAAGATCTGGAAACAGCATCAGTAGATGAGTGGATAAAAAGCCGTGGGACATTTACACTGCGGAATACTACGCAGCTGTAAAGAAGAATCTCGTACCCTTTGGGACAGGACGGGTGGACCTGGAGAAAATTATGCTAAGTGAAATAAGCCAGGCAGAGAAAGACAAACATCACATGATTTCGCTTATATGTGAAATCTAAAGAACTTAATAAACAGATGAACAGAACAGATTCAATGACATGGAAGCATAGATTAAGACTGACGAATGTCAGAGAGATGGAGGGCAGGAGGTGGGTGGAACGGGAGAGAGTAACCAAAGAATTGATATGCAGATATGCACAACCCAAGGACATGGAAAATGGGGGAGAGGGACTGGGGAGGAGGATGGGATGGGGTGGAACGGGTCATTGGGGAGAAAAAGGGACATCTGTAATATTTCAAACAAAAATAAAATTTAAAAAAAAACACAAAAAACATGATAGCCCTGGCTGGTGTTGCTCAGTGGTTAGAGCATTGGCCCCCACACTGAAGGGTCTCAGCTTCAATTCTCTGTCAAGAGCACGTACCTGGGTTGTGGTTCACTCCCTGCCCCAGGTAGGGGCGCATGCAGGAGGCAACCAATCAATGTGTCTCTCTCACATCGATGTTTCTCTTTCCCTCCCTCCCTTCCACTTTCTCTGAAAAGCAATAGAAAAAATATCCTCAGGTGAGGATAAAAAGAAAAAAAATAGATTTTTATCAAGCATATTTAGAAACTAAAAATTCTTTTTAAAAATCTTAAGAGTTATGACTCAGAAATATTAAAACTAAGTCTACAAATCACATGAAAACTGACCTTTATTACATAGGTTAGTAATGTTGTGTTTAGGGGCATCAACTTGCCTAAAACTGAGCACAGAAGCACTTATCTGATGAAGATAGTCTACAACTTTCATCAGTCTTTTTAAAAATATATATTTTTATAGATTTCAGAGAGAGGAAAGGAGAGGGAGAGATAGAAACATCAATGATGAGAGAGTCATTGATCAGTTGCCTCCTGCACACCCCCTAATGGGGATCAAGCCCACAACCTGGACATGTACCCTGACGGGGAATGGAACTACCATCTCCTGGATCATAGGTTGATGCTTAACTGCTGAGCCATGCCAGCCGGGCCAGACTTTCAAAAAGGTTAGACTAAGAACTGGTGCCATCACATAGCTTACCGATTTCAAAATAACTTTAAAAAATAAACAATATGCTGAATATAATTTTTGAGAATTAACAAGTACTTTAGAATCTAACAGCCATCTGTGTGAACATAGCTGCTACTAAGCAGATGTGAAGTGGTGACCAATGACTTCCAGCAACTTCAGCCACCTGCAGGTTTTTAAATACGTGAATACATGGAACACACCTCCTTCACCTGCCTGTCCAGCAAATCAAAGTTAGGAAGCAGACAAATGAGAAACAGAGTAATAGCATTTTGGAGTCACTGAGCTTTTGGGAAAATGGCTCCAAATATCTCAATAGCTCAGAAAGTGGCATTTTATTTAGGCAAAAAACAATGTGTATAATGATGCTTTTCAGCCCAATCCCTCACCACCACCACCCCAAACCCTAAAAAAATTCAGAAATTAATCAGCTATAGTAAAATCATAACTCACTGCAACTCTTTTCATTTTTAGATGACAAAGGCAAATCAGGAAAAATGTATTAGCAATGTATTCAAATTGTTCCAAACCACCCTTCCTTCATTTACATTCTGATGAGACAGAGAAAAGCTCCTGTAAAGTTAAATATTGGACTCATACATCCTACTTTTTATACCATCCCTCTCCAAAGGTAATTTCTCAAAGCCTGAGGTACCTTCTAGGCACGCCTCCTGCTTCATGATCTTCAAAATCTCTCTTGGTTTTCTCCATTTTATCCTCAAATATGCAAAGTACATGTCCTATCTTCAAAGAAATGGCTATTTTTCCTAAAGTACCTGCAATTTGGTTCAACCCCTTAACTCTAAGAAAACCATGCTCTAAGACAGTCGTTCTCAAAGTGTGGTCTGGACCAGCAGCCTCAAAAATCAACCGAGAACTTAGATATACGCAAATTCTTGGGTCTTACCTTAGACCTACTCAATTGGAAACTCTGGGGGTGGGGCTCAGCAAACTTAACAAGCAGTCCAGGTGATTCTGATGAATGCTAAGTTTAACTACTGCTGTAGGCCCTAGCCTGGTAGCTCAGTTGGTTAGAGCATCATTTCAATATGCCAAGGTTGTGGATTCAATCCCCAGTCAGGGTACATGTAAGATTCAACTAATGAATGCATAAATAAGTGGAACAAATTGATGTTTCTCTTTTCTCTCTCCTTTCCTCTCTCTCTAAAATCAATCAATAAATAATAAATTTTTAAAAACTACTGCTCTAAGGAATCAAATGTAAGAGAAAAAAACCAAGCATACAAAATTAAACAAAAATACTGTTTAAATTGAATTAAAAATATCAGTATGAATTTATGATTTCAAGAATATGTATTTTCTATCTCAGTTCACAGAATGGGCCTAGAAACAATGTTACCCAGTATCAATGACATCCCTAAAGTTCAGATTTTCATTTCTAGTATCATCTAGGTGTCCTTGCAGAAAAAGAACCATGCTTAAGTCCATTCTTAGAGCAGAGAAGGTATAAAAGTTTGGATTATCTTATTGAGCTGGCAAGTAAGGGATCATTCAAAGATCAAAAGGATAAGACTGGAGGTGATTCAAAAAGGAAGCCAGTAGCCAAAACTAACAATTTGAACATCAAAAAGAATATAGTTAACACACCAGTTCTATGAAAATCCAAATTTAGAGATGACAATCAAAACACAAAGGAGAAAACTAGAAAAAAGCTTATTTGTTACCATTTGGGTGCCAAACAGTTTCAGTTGGTGAGGAAAAGTTCTACTTTAAAAAAGAATGGCAGTTACTAAAAATTTCCATGAAAATAATCACAACCTCTAGAATACTGACTCAGGAGAGGATTATCAACTGGTGAATAGTTTAGAGAACTGGACACGTGTGTGATGTGATGTCAAAGTAACACCCTGCAGTAACTTCTAGGCTGGAAGGAGAAACACCTCAACTTCACCTTACTCTAGTGCTCAACATAGCATCACTAATGACGGGATGTTGTACTTGATGTGATACAGGAAGAAGCGAGTATGACGTATGCCAGCAATTTTCAACTGGTGTGACACAAGAATTTTAAAACATGCAACACCTGACTATTAGGGACACTGACCTCTTTTCCCTTAGACCCTCAAATAAAAAAATGACAAGAGCCAATACAACAATTGCCGTCTAATGTGAAAGAATCAAAATGATACTTTTTTTTGTCAGATCACCAAAAAAGTATTTTTTGGTGTGTCACAGAATTTTAGTAATTAGTTTCTGTGTGCCATGAGATGAAAAAGGTGAATATCGCTGAAGTATGCTATTAGCCAAAAAGATCAACTTAAGTCTAATTAAGCCTATAGATTTATCTTCCAGGTTAAATAAAGTTTGACTAAAGACATTAGGAAAAAACAATCTGGCAAATCTGGAAGGTGGGACATTTTAGAGCCTTACTACTTAGTGTGATCCATGGGTCGCCTGGAAGCTTATTAGAAACACCAATGTTTCAGCCTCACCCTAGAGCTGCTGAATCCAAACCTATATCATAAGATTTTCAAGTGATTTGTACACAATTAATGTTTGGGAAGCCCTTTTCCACAAGGCAAGTGACCAATCGCTTGAGCTACTGTAAATGAAAAGGGACTCAAGAGATATAACCAGACACAATGTATCATCCTATACTGAAAAAACCAGTTATAAAGGGTAGTCTTGAGACAATGTAAGAAATTTCAATGTGAACTGGTTATTACATATAATAAAATAAACCTTTAAATATGATAGCTGTTTCTGTCAGAAAAATATTTCTTCGCAAACTGAAATAGTTTAGAGGTACTGTGCATGGACAAAAAAGGGGCTCTGTAATAAATCTAACCCAAAATAACCTTACAGGATGGTCTGATCATAAATTCCTAATTGGGAAGGTCCTGCCTCAGGCCTATAACTTCCCTAGTAAAAGATTACCTTTGCCTTAAGCAAGCCCTGTCCATTGTTTTGTGTTTTTTTAAATCCTCACCTGAGGATATTTTTTCCATTGCTTTTCAGAGAGTGGGAGGGAGGGAGGGAGGGAGAGAGAGAAACATCGACTGGTTGCCTCCTGCTTACACCCCAAATGGGGCAGAGCCTGCAATCAAGGTATGTGCCCTTGGATGGAATTGAACCCCGGACCCCTCAGTCCACAGGCAGACACTCTAACCACTGAACCAAACCAGACAGGGCTGTCCACTGTTGTTGTTTCCTAAATATATCTTTATTGATTTCAGAGAGAGGAAAGGAAAGGGAGATAGAAACATCAATGATGAGAGAGTCATTGATCAAGCTCGCAACCCGGGCATGTGCCCTGACCAGGAATCGAACCCCGATCACCTGGGATCCTAGGTCGATGCTCAACCGCTGAGCCATGCCCAGCCGGGCTCCACACATTTTTTGTGTGCACCTTTGAAAAGGTGCACCTTTTGCCCTGGCGCATTTGGCTCAGTGGTTAGAGCATCGGCCTACAGGCTAAAGGGTCTCAGGTTTGATTCCCAGTCAAGGGCACATCCCTGGCCTCAGCTGGGGCCTGTAAGGGAGGCAACCAATCAACATGTCTCTCATGTCAATGTTTCTCTCTCCCTCCCTTCCACTCTCTCTCTAAAAAAAAAAAGAGATTTTTAAATACCGCCCCCTCCACAAAAGAAATGCCCCTTTTTCAGACTTCTCAGGAGTGTAACCACCCTCAAAAGAGCACACAATCTTGATAACTATCTGTAATCAAATCTCAGAGATTTCCCTGACTTGCTCTCCCCACGTTCAGGTGATCTTCCTTACGGTCCCTCCTTAACTCCAACTGCAAACTGTATATTCTGGGAGCACTTCAGATCTTCCTTCCTGGTATATTGTCAATATGGATCAAATAAACTTCGTTTTTTTTTAAATTCTCACCTGAGGATATTTTGTCCATTGCTTTTCAGAGAGAGTGGAAGGGGGAAGGGGGAAGGGGAGAGGGGAGAGGAGAGAGGGGAGAGAAAGAACCATCGATGTGAGAGAGAGAGATCGATTGGCTGCCTCTTGCACGTGCCCCGACTGGGGCTGGGATCAAGCCTGCAACCAAGGTACATGTCCTTGGCCAGAATCGAACCCAGGACCCTTCAGTCTGCGGGCCAATGTTCTAACCACTGAACCAAACTAGCCAGGGCAAGAAGGTAGATCTTAAAAGTTCTCACCACAAGAAAAATATTTATAACTTATGTGTAGTGATGAATGCTAACTACACGTACTGTGATAATCATTTTGCAATACATACAAGAAAATTTTTTAAATTGCATAAATTTAAATATAAGAATCTTCAATTACACTTTTTTAAAAATAAATTTTTTAAATGTGAGCACTTAGTATTACTTGATAATTCTGCTTCACTCACTGTATAATACTACCACTTTAGGTAGCACAGTGCAGTGTTTAATTGCACAAACACATTTGAATCCTGGCTCCACCTCTTAATAGCTGTATGACAAGCTTCCTCATTACAGATTTAACTTTAAGATTGAAAAATTCGAAATAACAAACGTCCTTCCATACAGAATAGGTTTAATCTATGATGACACATTTATATAAAATATTAGCTAGTTATTAAAAGAATAAGGTAAATATGTAAGTAACTATCACAAAAAGATACTCAAAGCATGAAAACTCAGATTGTACAACAGTGTGCAATACAATGCCATCTGTGTAAAACACACCGGAACAATAGACATATATGCTGAGATATATATAGAAAATACTTAGAATAACACATAAGTGCCAAATACTTATGGAAAATGGGGTCAGTGGATCCAGGAGGTGATATTAGCTTTTCACTTCTATACTATTTATTTTTTACAATGAGGCCTTATTACTTTTATAATAAATGTTTTTGAAACATTCATTTACAATTAGAGAAAAACTCTACATTCTTTTGGAAAAATTAATATTCTAACTAATTGCATATGTAATAAAACTGAAATATATCTGTTCAGGAAACTATCAAGCAGTATTTTAGGTTTATTCTTTCAAACTATTCTGGGTAGTTAGCAATTTTCCCAACAAAGTTAGTGCTAAAAAACTTTCATTTAGCTTAATATAAAGTAGAACCCCCAATACATAGCAAACACCATTAAAAATTAATCGCCTCACCTCGTCTACTCTGCACTGAAGCAACAGGAAAGAAAAGAGACAGGAAAAAGATTAGAAATATAGAGAATTCACACATTTGTATATAAACTGCAGATTTGGAAGCATTTCTAAATTAAAAACTACACAGAATAAAATTTTAAAGTACTCATTATATACTAGATTCTATACAAGTAATGGAAAAGATGAGTGTTAAATAGCACTGACCAAGCACTTTTGCTAAATCTAAAATATTTAATTTCAATTTAAGAGAAAAAGTTCCCAGCCAAGTTAGTAAGAGTACTTACTGATTTGATTCAAAGTTTCCTGAGGAATCCAGCTCATGTCAACATCATTCTGACTTGATGTACCCATCTCTACTTTCTGTACGGGTCTCTTGCGCTAAGAGAACATAAATACAGTACTTCAAAGGAGTTTCGTTATATTGTTTACCATAGTTTTAAAAAGTCCTATCAAGCTACTTAAATATCTTAATAGACAAATATGTTCTCTTCTAGTTTTAAAACATACTCCTATTCAAGTTTTTATTAATCAGAGGGGGGAAATCATGTCTAGCACCAATTTAAAGAATAAGTAATAAGGAATATATCTTCAAACAATGATTGATTTTCAGGCTTTGAAGATATTTTCCTGCCTGGCCAGGGTGGCTCAGTGGTTAAGCATTGACCCATGAACCAGGAGGTCGTCATTCGATTCCTGGTCAGGGCACATGCCCAGGTTTCAGGCTGCATCCCCAGCAGGGAGAGTACAGGAGGCAACTGACCAATGACTCTGTCTCATCACTGATGTTTCTCTCTCTCTCCCTCTCCCTTCCACTCTCTGAAATCAATTAAAAAAATTAAAAAAAAAAAAAAAGATTTTCCTATGCTATAAAGCATCATATGTTATTAAGACTTTCTACTTATATGATGATTTTTTTCCCTTTGAGTATCAAATGTTAAAAAATAAATTTATTTTTAACTTCAACAAAATTCAGGATAAATTTCTGAAAGGTTGCATGCAGGCGGGTTCCTGCATTGTTAGTTAAATATACTTAAAGAGTTGGCACAGATTAAAACTAAACAAAAACTTAAAATCTCATTTAAGCTAACAATGGAAAACTTTGTCCCTAGAGTTTTTGCAGAACTGCTAGAAAGAAAAGAATTCAATTCCATTCTTTAGCCTTGCTCTTAAAAAAACAAAAACAACCCTAAAACTATTTACCTAAAAGAGTATTAAATATACAGTCCAAAAATTAGATTGTGAATACACAGAAAGGTAACCACAGCCAATTAAAAAAATGGCTTCATTCAAATGGGGGAAAAACTGAAGATGCCATTATACTGAATATACAAATTTGGAGCAAAAAAACCCATTATGAAAATAAGGCAAAGAAAGCTATAGAAATTAACACTTAAGGACTAAGTATTTCTCTTTTAAAGAGCAAGTGCTTATTAGTAACACTTATTGCTAATTTTAATAAAAGGGTCCAGTAACTGGGCTGTAACAACTTCTGAAGTATGGCTAAAAGTCGTTCAGCTATAATTACCTTTCTAGATTCCAGGAGTTGATGAAGGCCAACAACAACCAAGAGCCCAAGACCAGCAAGAAACATATACATAAAGATTCTAATATAAAAGGAAGAAATATAAACTGGATTAACTCATAGGAACTATCACAGCTAATTAAAACTATACTATTTTAACTTATAAAAACATCATAGCTAATTATATCTACAGGGTGTGACAAAAATAGGTTTACAATTGTGAGTAGATGAAAGTTTGTTCTTATATTATTATTTATTAATCACTGTATTATTTTACAACTGTGAACGTACTTCTGCCCCACCCTGTATAATGCTAACACTATATAAGCTTTCCAAATAACTTGCTAGTAAAAGGAATAAAGTATTTTAAATTCAATTTAGACCCCGGTAATAAGTCTTATAAATTTTTTACTTTATTTCTAAGAATTAGCCAATTTAGAAAAGCAATTATATGACCCCAAATTAATAAAACTGCTTTATAATAGTATTAGGTTTTGTCTCCCTCAAATATTAGACCATTTTTCAGTTTAATTTAAAAATTACTTTTGGTGAATTCCTTCTAAGTATACAGTAAGAAATAATTCATCATTTACAAAGAACACATTTTTCAAGATAAAATCTTATAGTTTACATTTTCAAAAGCAATTTTAGAGGCATGCAACATAGGTTAGGCTGGTAATCACTTTAAGAGAATGGGGTGAAAAAGATTTTAGAAGAGGGCAAGGATGGAAAGCTGAAGCTACATTTTTAAAACAAATTTTTGTCAGTTTCAAGTATCTTTATTAACTTGGTATGAATAGTTATAAGAATCATCTAAAATATGAATTTACATAGTTAGGATTTCACCAAATTTATAGTCCGTTCCATTTTCATCATTTAATAAAAATAGGCTGACAGGAGGCAAGCCTTCTAGTCCTACTTAATGAGAACAAGATCTACATATTTCAACTCCCACTTACGTTTCTCCATCTAGCCCATCCTCTCTTTCAATAATTGTAACTGTTTGATTGAAGACAGCATCTTGAAATACATTGCCCTGTTTAAAAAACAAATCCCTAAAACTGAAATGCACTGAAAAAATAAAAGCCTATAAGAATTCTTAAAACCATTACCCTAAGAGATATAGTACAGCTTTCTTATTACTCAGAAAATTATACTCAAAGTCATACCTAATGGTACTAATTCAGTATTGGGAATTCAACATTATGTTTGCTACTTTCTCCTACAAAATAAAAAAATGCCTCCAAGTTTGCCAACGTTGTCCCCTGCTTACCTTTGGGGGCAGGGAAAAGTTGAAGAACCAGGGAAGTACAATAAAACCAAGATAAAATATGCGGAAAGAAACAAAGTCCACAGAACACTCTTACAACTAGAAGCCCTAGGTTCTGTTGTGTGTAACCCTCCAAAACAAGAAAGGAGCATGAACATGTACAGTAAGTAATAGCAGATCATTTTAAGAACTAGACTTGAACAAGTCAAATTCATGTTCTAAATTAACAATGGATTGGAAATAAATTTCTTTATAATAAATGGGTTAGTGATTTTCAGTATCAAAATATTTTTCTGTTGTGATCTTGAAACAATTTTGTTAGTTCAACACAATTTCAGTTTTCAAATACATCAGAATCACTGGAACAATACATGGATAGCCGTTTTCAGTGTTTGATGCTTTGCACAAAGGTGGTATAGTGTTACTTATTGCTAAACTATAATTATATAAGTTTTACTTCAAGATCTTGCAATTGGCATTCTTCTGTTGACAATTCCAAAACTCAGAATAGATTAATGAAACTACTATTTAAAATGGAACTGAAACTACAGATATGCCTGATGGACTGTTTTCTGTTTGAAACAAGATGAAATATATAATTCTTCAAGTCACTTTACCATAAAGTTGAGAAAGCTTAATACCACCTTATTTTGAAGGAAAAATGAAAAACCCTCTCTACACTCTACTAATTTAAAAAAAAGAAAAACTTAATTGCAGCACAAGAAATTTAAGTAAGACATAAGATAAACATGTTGACACTACAGTGATGAAAGGTTGAATAAGTTTCCAAAAGGGATAAAATTTCCTTCTCTGAGAACTTTTTGAAAAGGGAATGGTTTAGACATGCTCTTGTCTGAAGGTGGACATAATAGTTGGCACCTAGAGGTCAACTCCCAGCAGTACAAGTGTGGGCTTCTCTTATTCATTCATTGGATATACCATAACATTAAAAACTGTAAGACAGAGTGTTTATATTAGGCTATTTGAATCTCATAAACCATAAATCTTATTGCTAAAACTCTACTAAAAATAGTAGATTCCACTGTGTGGCTTACTTTCCTTTTAAGATCCAGCTCAAGTCTCTTCCACTTTAATACTCTAGCACCTTACACTTATCTCTAGAATGTATCACTTATTATGCTGTAATACTGCCTGCTTACATCCATCTCTCCCAGTGGATTATAGACTTGAAAACAGACACATGCAATTTACCTTTGCCTCCCTGGAGTTTTAACCACAAAACAGGCACTTGAATGAGTAAAACACGAGAATATTCAAATGTCAATTGTCTTCACCTATCTCTAACAACAACAACAACAAAAATTTAGAGGGCCTTACGTTCAAATCTTTGTAGTTCAGATTGATGACTAGACCAAAGGGTCGTCCACCCATGGGCTCTGCAGGAATGAAGGAGTACTCAAAAGTTGCCTGTCTCTGGGGTGGCACTACAGTGTTCAGAGGAAGAGCTGTGAAATTCTGGATATAAAACTGGTAGTCCTGAGGATAACGGAATGAGGCATCTAGGGATTCAACAATAAAATCTTCTGTACCCTTGTTTGTAAAGCCTACCAGGAATTTCACAATGTTATTTGCTGGAAAATCTAAAAAAAAAAAAAAAA